TCCAGATGCAAATAGTGGGTGAACAGTGGAGCCATCACCCCAGCCCCTAGGAGAATGTAACTCACCTGCGGTGCCAGGTCCCATCTGCTGAGTGTTGCTTCACTCCACGGGTCCCTGTTAACCCTTCAAAGCACTTATTTAGATTTGTGGGCAATATCATACACCACCATTTTTTTTTAACAAAAGTAAATCTGTCTTTGGAAAACGAGTAATATTTCCTGCAGGAAATCACAGTTCAAATCAAAGGGAACTGTCACCTGGTACCATTTGTGGAGATTCCTTTCTTAACTCAGGGTCAACCCTGTTGACCCTTGGCTGCTATTAGCTTTAGACATTTCCTTCCTCCCTCCTTCCCTCCCTCCCTCCCTTCCCTTACTTGGGATACTTTGTACCACACACTATGCTAGACCCTGAGGCTACATGAGGAGAATGAGATAAACTCCATCCTTCTTCTCTCTGAATTGAAAATGTATTAGGGAAGACAGACTATTAAGCAAATTTAGAAATGGTAGTGGTTAACATGCCCTGAGCCCTGCCTCTGTGCCACGCCCTGGGCTCTCATCCTTACAACACCAAGGAGGCAGTGGCAGTGGCAGTGGCTGTGACTATTATTACTGTGACTACTGCCCTCCTGCCTATCATACACATAAGAAAACTGAGATTCAGAGCAGCCCCATGAATTGCACAGAGTCGTTCTGCCTGTATTGAGGCCAGGCATGGTGAGCTCAACCACGATTTCTCCTCACTCCAGGGCCCCAGGCCTCATGGTGACCAAAGCCCCCACTTGTCCTCTGTGTATCTCCTGCCAGAAAGCCCAGCTGACCAGGGGCAGTCGGCCCTTGAGCAAAAGAGCAAATACCTGACCTTAGTCAGATTCCAGACTGCTGTGGATAGTGGGGACAGTGACTGTGGGATGGTGCAGTCACCCTAGACAGCTGTTGGCATCTCCTCTGCAATTCCAGGAAGCCAGAGAGGGGTGGTCCCCAGCCCTGCTTTTCATGAGGACCTCACGATTTAGACCACAATTGCAGGAGGGTCATCAACCCTTGCCCCAAACCACTGCCCAGCTTTAACCATGCCCGGTGGCTGCCAAGATGCTGCAAATCTCACAGATCTGGTGTTGTCCTCAGTGAATCTGGTGGGGAGACTGAGTTTGTGCAAGGAAACCAGCCCTGTCCAGAACAGCAACACAGCACCATAGAAAGTCGTGCAGACCGGGCTTGGGGCTCAGCTCCCTCTCTGAGAAGTAAGCAGGTATCATGTGGTCTTCAGGAGGTAGTCCAAGCCATCATCTCCCTGAGAAACCTCTCTGGAACCAACCCCGGTGGTTCTCAGCCCTGGTTGCACGTCGTGCCCTCTACACATATATCTGGACCCCTGGTGATTTAAAACTGCCTGGTGACTTCAGTGGGCAGAAAAGTTGAGAACCACCAGACTTGGTCGAACCATCTCCATAAGCCAAATCCTGCCCACCACCTGGTTATGACTGTCTGTACACACCAAGCCCATCTGTTTACGTCTTTGTGGCTCCTTTCATACAAGAGGGGCAGAGTAAGTAGTTGTGAGAGAGGTAGAGTAGTTGTGATAGAGACCGTATGACTTGTAAGGCCTCTAAAATTTACATACAGACCTTTACAGAAGAAGTTCATCAACCCCTAGACTAGACAGTCAGTTATTCATCCTGCCCACCTTCTTAACACCACTCCAGCCTAAAACTTAGTGTGTGATGCGTGATAATTTGCATAAAACAAGCAAGAACTCCTGGGGAGGGGGCTTCTGGGTCGTCCATGTGGCCTCCAAGCCCAGCACAAGGCCTTGCACACACAGGTGCTCAGTAATGGCAGCTGTTATGTGATAAGTCAGCTGTTGAACTGGGGTCTGGGCAGTGAGGTTTGGATGAGTAGGGAGGGAAGGTATCATGCCAGGCAGGGGTGCTTGTCTCCTTAGGCACCAGCCCTTTGCTCCTGGGGCCCACTTCCCAGGGCTGAGGCTCCCAGCAGAAGCCAAGGAGGTGCTCAGCACAGGCCTGGAGGGAGGTGAATCTCAATGAACCAGGAGAATTGGGACCCTGGGGGCAATTAAGGAATTGGTTCCAGGTTGAGGCTGTAAGAAGCCGCCCTCAGTATGGCAAGACTGGTCTCTGTTGACCCAGAGGTGCTGGATATGTCCAGGCTGCAGGGGATCTGAGATGGGAATGGGGCTCAGTTACCTGGCCCAGTCTTCCATCCAATGTTTGAATCTAGTTACTGCTTCATGACCGGTAATCCCCCAGTTTGAGCATGTCTAGTGATGGAGAACTTACCACATACACCATTATTTGGAAGAGTGAAAAAATGAGAAAACACCTAAATGTCTATCACTAGAGTATTGAGGCCAGGCATGGTGGCTCACTCCTGTAATCCCAGCATGTGGGGAGGCTGAGGTAAGAGGATCGCTCAAAGTCAGGAATCCAAGACTAGCCTGGGCAACATAGCAAGACCCTATCTCTACCAAAAAAAGAATCAAAAATTAGCTGGACATAGTGGTGCACACCTATAGTCCCAGCCGCTCAGGAGGCTAAGGCAGGAGGATCGCTTGAACCCAGGAATGTGAGGTTGCAGTGAGCTATGACGTGTGCCTGGCATACAACTGTACAACTATAAGGAAAAAAAATGCTGGACATCTAAGTGTACCAATGTGGGAAATCTTCCAGGTAAGTGAAATAAATACCATGTTATAAAACAGTCTGTTCAATTTGAGTCTATTTATGTAAAAAAGAGTATTAATTTTGAAAATAAAGCACCAGACTGCTAACTGTGGTGATCCCATTACATGGAGATGTGATTATAGGGGACTTTTGCTCTCTCTGTGGCATTGGAATTTCTTTTGTTTGTTTTTGAAACAAGCTTGTGTTATCAGGAAAATAAACAAGATATTTCTATTAAGAGACCAAAAAAAAAAAAAAAAGGCAGGCTCCCTTATATTGAACTAAAATTTGCCTTCCTATAACATAAATGCACTTGCCTTTGCTTGCTACCTGAGGCCACTTGACCACAGAAGATATTTGTAAACAGAAATTGTGTTCAGAGTTTGTTCCCTGGGAAGCACAGGCCTAGCCCCTGGGTGCAGACAGTATGGACAGGCCTCATGTGGTGTCACACTACACCTGCCATTATCTAACCTTGTGCAAACTTGTCTTTCCTATTGGGCTAGAAGTTCTCTCAGGGCACAGATTATGAAATAGACATTTTTTTTTTTTTGAGACAGAGTCTCACTCTTTTGTGTGCTAGAGTGCAGTGGTGTCATCGCTGCTCACAGCAATGTCAAACTCCTGGACTCAAGTGATTCTCCCGCCTCAGAGTCCTGAGTACAGGGATGATAGGCAACAATCACTATGCTTGGCTATTTTTTCTATTTTTAGTAGAGATGAGGTCTCCCTCTTGCTCAAACTGGTCTTGAACTCCCTAACCTAAGAGATTATTCTGCCTTGACCTCCCAGAGTGCTAGGATTACAGGCATAAGCCACTGCACCCGGCCTTCAAATAGACATTTTTCCCCTCCGCAAAGCATCTGGTGCCAACTACACAGAGCAGGTCTTCAGGAAGTTCCTGGTGAATGAGCAGATGGATGATTGTTGGGGACCAAAATTATCCATGTGTGAGTGTCTCTTTCCCATCTACTAAGGACATGTTGGCATTGCTTCCATGTCATTCACCATCTTCCCCGTGGCTGTCCTCCAGCCCCAAGCTCCTGGACATGCAACTAGAAATAAGAGGTGTCAGGAAGAATCAAAGAACAGAGATGGGCATTTGCTTTGGAAAGGATTGAGCTATCCTTGCATGAGAGGAAAGAGGGTAGCAGTGAAAAGACAGAGAGGGCAGAGAAAAGGAAGACCCCCCACCAAGGGCACACTGGAGCTCATGTGTGGGGAGGACTGAAAGTGAGAGGTTCACAACAGGCGAAAAGCAGAGAGAGGAAAGCAGTAGAGGAAAGATGCCATGGTGTGTGAATTGGAGGACCTTGTGGGTTCCTTAGGGGGTGCAAAAATGATTAGAGCTGCCTTTACTTCACAGTACTAGATTGCATTTCTGTGGATATGATGCCTTTGGGAACTGGACTGTGTGGGGCTCTGAAATTTATTTGGGTTATAGTCAAATTAGGGCAGTGAGGGAACACAGCCCCACACATTCTTGGGCCCAGCCAACAGTGGGATGAGGGTTAGGCTCTAGGTTTGGAGTTGTGTCAGAGAGTATGTGGCCACCTCCACTGTCCAGGTCCTTGTCACCTTGTGCTCTGTGCTTACCATCTGTTGCCACTCTGCAGACCCTGCTCCCTTTAGGTCCATGGCAATCTCGAGATGTCAGAGAAGAGGGCAGCCATACCCAAGAAGCTCTTACGGTTGTTGGGGGGAAGGAACACTGTGCCAGAAGTTGGTAGACTGGGCCATGTTTATATGCAAAATCATCTTTAGGAAATGTTTCAATTTAGTTAAGAAATGTTATACAGCTCAGAAAAGTCCATTACCTCTCAAATCAGAAAATAGACTTAAGCAAAAATAAGGCTCCAGATTTCAATCCCCTATATTTTCATTACATGGAAATAATCACTGTTCACCTTTTGATATATATTCTGCCAAATAATTTTTGTGTACATCAATGTATAACTTTAAAACAAATCAAACTGTACACATCTTTTGTAATATATCATTTGCACATAATTGATGTTTATCTTTTTGTGACAATGGGTTTGCATCACTGTTCTGTCTCTAATTTATTAGCTGCGTGGCACTGGGTTGGCCACGTACTCCAGACACTTCCGTTTCTTCATCAATAGAATGGAAATAGTGATGCCCACCCCACAGGATTGTGGTCCCTGTGAGATCTCATAGGGCAGCAGGTGGAAAGTTACTTTGCAAAATGCTCTCCAAAGGCCGGGGACCACACTTTTTCAGGTCCTGGGTCTCTGCCTGCTTAGCCTGTTCTTCCTTACACAAGCTTTTGTTTTTGTTTTATTCTCTCCAGGATTGAGAAGCGGGATGGAAGCGAGGAGGAGGACTTTCACTTAGACTGTCGCCACGAGAGATACCCCACCCGTAAGTGGCCTCCTCTACAGGCCCCTACTGCTATAGATTCATGTGCGGTTAGAGGAGAAAGAAACCCCAGAGCCAAGCTAGGCCAGCCCATGTACACCCCTGCACTCTTGCACAGACACCCCATTCATGAGGAAACTGAGGCTGGTGTCTCAGGCTTGGTGTCTCACAAGTCCTCTGCAGGCAGCAGCTACAGCCCTTAGAGTGGGGATGGGATTCTCAGAAAGGAAGAGAGAGATTGCCAGGCCTCGAGGCACAAGGGTTAGCCATTGGCCTCAGGGAGAATAGTCCTGGGTAGAATTAGTTGAGTCAGGGAGGTGACAGTGGACAGAGTGGTTTGTGCTGGGGATGCTCTTGGCAGCCCAGAGTGTGCTAAGTTCATACATCTCAGCATGACCTCACCATAAGGTGGAATCTAGGGCACACGTTAGAAAAGCAAGTATCAGGATAGAAAGCCAAGGAGATGTGCAAAAGAGACAAAGGACCTTGCTCAAAAGCGCAAAGGAAAGGACCAAGGTAAGATCAGCTGAGATGGCTGAGTGCCCACCAGTGTCTCCCTGCCTACCCCACCCTGTACAAAGGTCTTTTCATGCCTGATCTCATATTCTTGCTGATCCCCAACCCCTATGGCCGACATTGCTACCCACAGTTTACGGATGAGGAAACTAAGGCTGAGAGAGGTGAAGTAACTTCCCCAAGGTCACACAGCTTAGTGGCAGAGGAGTGGCAGAGCCACTGTCCCAGCTGCATCTCTCAGGTCCTTTAGGAAGCTTGGTGACTTACATCTATCTGTGCCTGCACCTGTGTGCCTGAGGCTTCCCCACTTCTACCCCCGAAAGACTGAAGTGCTAGAGTATTGGCATATAGGTACCCCAGCTCCTTTGCCCTGCAGTGGGATCCCTGAGGCATGTGACCTGCAGTTTCCCTGCAGGATGGACAGTCAGTGGTCATCAGGCCCAGCATGTCCCTCCCCTTCCCTGTGCCACTTTTCTTCTCTGCCCAGCTTCCCCACACTTTCTTACCAATCATGGCACTCAAGTTCTTATCTCAGAGTTTGCTCCTGGGGTAGAAGGCAGAGTTGATCTGCCTTCAAATCCTGTGATCCTCATAACATGTCCCTGCTGATGTTGGGGGGTCCTGGCTGGAGCAGAGGAGAAGGTCTGGTCTTCACCCTGGGGGAGGAGGCTCCCATGGGAGGCATCAGCCCAGGGAGGCGACTAGAGCACTAGTACTTGCTGGACGGTTACTTCGTTCAAGGCCTGTGCCGGGTCCTGGAGGGACGGCAGGAGCAGACCCGGCTCGATCCAGGGGCAGAGGGAGCCATTTGCTGAGTGAACTCCTAATGTGCACGACAATGTCCAGTACAGACAAGTGCAAAGGGAGGGACGTGTGATGACAGGGAGGAGCCAGGAGAGGGGCTGTCCTTTAGAGCCAACTCTCTGAGGGGCTGCTGGGCTGGGACCTAAAGGATGGGAAAGTCAGCCAAATAAAGAAAAGAGCTTTCCTGGCAGAGGACCTGCAGAGATAGAGGCACAGGCCCAGAGCCAGAGGAGCAGCAGCGCTGTTGTGGAACAGCTGGGGGCCATGGGGCTGCCATGGGGAGGGCAGGGGAAGGGCGGGTGGCAGGCCGCGGAAGGGCAGCGGGAGGGGAAGGAGCTGCCTCTACAGGGGGAGCCTGGGCATTTTAAGCAGGTAGGAGACACACCCAAGTTCTATTTCTCTCCCACCCTTCTCAAGTTTCTCTCTGTCTGTCATTTCTCTCTATCATCTGTTTATCTCTGTTACCTCCTCATCTCTCTATCACCGGTCTCTATTATCCGTCTCTATCATCTCTCTTTCTGTACCTCTACCTCTGCAGTGCGGGGACAGGACTGGGGGGAACCCAGACTGGTGACCACTAGACCAGTTAGAACCTGGGATACACACCAAACCTTTGCTGTTGCCATCCTTCCTGGGAAAGACCACGGGGGCCTGAATTCTGGCAATGGAGATAAAAGCGGGTGGATTTGAGAACTCTCTGCCGGTAGAATTGCCAGAGTGTCCTAGTTTGGGTTCCCCTGGAAGGAGATCCCTGAGATAAGGCTAGGACAGCAAGTACTTTATTTGGGTGATCATGGAAGTGGAGAAGGGGGAGTGAGAAGGCAGAGGTGGGTGGCCGGGAAGAGGCACAGCCTTGGGCAGCCAGTGCAGGGCCCGTGCATCTGAGTCACCTCCAGGCAGGACAGCGACTTTCCTGGGTCAGTGTCTGAGGGCTGTGGAGGCCAGGAGGAGAAAGCCCACCTCATGCCGTGGGGGTCTGCAGTGTGCACCAGGTCTGGTGGGGGTGCATCAGCTCAGTGACCAGTGAGGATGGGGATGAGACCAGTCACATAATTTCTACTGGAATAGTCAGAGCTTGGGATCACAGACTGATGGAAGGATGAGGGGGGGAAATGTGTGAGGCACAATGATGCTTTGTGTGGTGGGGGTTTGGTGGGGTTGTGGGGGCCTCCTGGAGGCAGCTCATAGATAGAGTGGGGCTTAAGAGGGTGGCAGTGTGGGAGGCTGAAGCCAAGGGGCTGCTAAGGTCGTCTGGGGGGAACATGCAGGGTGGAGAGAGGCAGTAAAGCAGAGGAGCCTTGGGGGCCACCGGGGAAAGGGCTGCAGAGAGCTGTCAGCTGCCCTCAGAGGTTTTCTAAATCCCAGCTTCTCAGGGAAGAAAAGACCCTCAGATCCCACAGGCTCCACTCTGGGTGTGCCTTTCATCAGGTAGTGGAGCATTAGCAGGGAAGGCTGCTTTCCCTGGGGCTGCAGAGGTACGGAGACCCCTATATCAAACAACGTGGAAGGAGAGACCCCATCTATTCTCAGAGCTGAGAGGGGGAGTCTGCTGGCTAGACACTGGCACGAGAGAGCCCATCCCTTCAGCTGGCCTAAAGTGAGCTTCTTTTATTCCACAAATCTTTATTGAAGAGGCTTCTCTGGCTCCTGGGAACACAGAGACAAAAGAACATTGCTGGGCCCTGGCCAGCTCCTGGTCCTGTGGGGGAGACAGACCCAAGCCCCTACTGCAGTGTGTGGCCAGAGCTGTGACAGGGTCAGTGCAGGCTCAGAGGTAGCAGAGGCTCTTCATCCACCCAGGCAGAGGAGCAGGGGCAGGAGTGGGGGCAAGGGGATTGAGTCAGGGGTGCCCCAACTTTGTAGGACCTCTGTAGCCACAGTGATGATACCTTGCCTTGATTATGAAAGTAGCCAACAAGAACTCAGTTCTGCCCCCCTCGCCAATCTGATTATACTATCTCACCCTTGCATATGTTCTAAGGACTTTACACTTACTCATTTAATCCTCAATAGCTGCATTTGATAAACAGGGAATCTGAGGTCCAGGAAGTTAAGACTGTGGCTTACCCAGCATCACCAGCCAGGAAGTAGCAGAGCTGGGGTTTGAACCCAGTCCGACTCCATCACCCATACCCTGGACCACTAGGGTGAGCCGCCGTGTGTCAGTCAGAGCTCCACTTGCTGGGCTCACCTCCTGTCTGGGCCCAGACAGGGCTCTGAGGATCTGTGTGGGGGGCCCAGTCCTCACAGAGCTCGTGGTCCAGAGAAGCAGCCAATCAAACTGGTTGTGGAAAGGATGCCATCTCCAGAATTCGGCCTCTTAGCTGCTAGTGGGTTTTCAGCCAAGAAAATATTTTGGAAATGCCTGGATGAGTTTTGCAATATTTCTGCAGGGAGCAGCTGCTCAGATCCTGCGATGGGCTGACTTGTCGGCAGGAGGAACGGGGGAGGAGGGATGTCAGGGAGCCTGCATTATTAAACACTTACTGTGTGCAGGTCTGTGCTAAGCACTTGGCTGCCATCTCGTTTGATGTCTGATCCAGCCCTGAGAAAGAGGGATTATTCTTCTCCTTATGGAGATGGAGAGTTTAAGGCTCTGAAAGGCAAATCGACTTTGCTGAGATCTCTGGGTCCACTTGGTGATCAAACTCAGCTTGGCGTTTGGATCTTTCTCCTTACTGTGGGAATGAGGCTGCTCCTGCTCAGGACTCTCAGTCCCCCTGACCTCACTCCTCCCATCTCCCCTCTCCCAAGCTGCCCCCGCCTTCCTGGCTTTCCTCTTCCCTGAACACGCAAAACTCATTCCCCTTGTAGGGCCTTTGCACTTACTATTCCCTCTGCTTGAATGCTCTCCCTCTAAATCTTTGTCTCATCTTGAACTTTTGTCCCATCTTGAAGCCTCCACTGAAAGACCACCTCCTCCGAGAAGCAGTCCTGGATCTGCACTAGCTTCCCCAGTCGTCCTCCTATCTCCAGCTTCTCTTTTCTTCACAGCATTTGTCCCTCTCTGAAATGATCTTTTATATGGATGTGCTTAGTTTGGTTTTGTTACCTCCCCACTAAGTGCCATGAGAATAGGCATCTTGTCTATTTTGTTCATGTCTATATCCCAAGAGCCTAATTCAGTATATGGCACATAGTAGGTGCTTGGTTGTTGGCTCTAAACCTCCAAGTTTCCCCCCCCTTCCCATCTGAGAAACCACTTTTGAATGAACAGTTACATAAACTTTTGGTTGTCCTAACTGTCCCCAAAGTTGCTATTTTGGGGGGGCTACTGTAATATGGATTCTGTCACAATTTTTTTTTTCTTGAGGAAAGAATTTGCTTTTGAAACCTGCCTTTGGGGCTTTGTGGTGCTGCCAGCTAGCTCAGGAGCACATCAGACATGACATGTGATGGAGGCAACATTGCCATATGGCCCAGGTGTCTGCATCTTCCTTACAGGGGCGACTGAGGTTTGCAGCGGGATTACAACTGTCAAGTTCAATGCCCAAGATAAGCTTTTGATTTTGCCAGGTGTGTCTTGTAAGGCTGGGTTTGGCGAGAGGCTGTCACTTGCCAGGCACAGAGGTGGCTTCTGGGAACTCTGTCTAGATGGGTCTCTGTCACAGCTGCCCCCAAAATAGCAGAGGGAATTAGAAGGAAGACGTTTTCTGGGCCCAGAGCAACTTGGCATTTTTATT